GTATTGGGAAGGCAGATGACATTTAAAAGAAGCAGTATTAAAGTCCTCCATTACAAGAATTAAAGACAACAGTTTTGTCAACAGCAAACACATTTATCTTCATCTGGGAGAAACAACTGATAGTTCCTCTTACCTGAGGGAATTCTAAACCTGGAGCTAATCTGTGCACCTACTGCAGAATTTTGCAAACATTCATCAATATTTAGGTTACCAGTTTTGGAACAAATGCATTACCAAATATGAGTTTCTTTCACAGTAACAAACATAATCAGAACAGACACTCTTTAATCACAGATTGTTTTTTAAACACATTTGCCAGTCTCATTTCAAACTGTTTGAGCACCTGAGCTTTCATTACTCCTCTCTGGAAAGTATTCACTAGCTTAAACACAGCCAGCTATGTTGAGTAACTTTGCTCTGGGAGGCATTGTTCATTTTATCCTTTTTTCACTCATCCTTTGGAGGACATGAAAATATTTTTCTCCCTGTGCGCTTAAAACCCTTCCAAAAAATCAGCTGCTCCATCTTCTTGTCATAATCTTGTTTATATTCAAATAGGCACCAGTGTTGCTATGCCCCATCAAGAGACTTGGTCAATAGTTCCAAAAACACAAAGGTCACAGGGGAAAATGATGGGGAATTACATTCCCAGTAAAACGGTGTTTAAAATCCCTTGGTTGGCTTGCAGACTATGATACTTCCATTTAGAAATACTGGTTTGTTTCAAATGGAATTTTATTCAAACAGAATGAAAGCATAGCTTCTGAGGCAAGAGCTGAAGCCTTGGAACAGAGGGGGAATGATCCCATACTTAACATCACCACTCAGAGCTCTGATCATTCTCTATTTTGCTACAAACACACTGTGCAGCCTTAGTCAAGTTGCTTAGGGGTTTTTTGTGGCTTAATCCCCCATTTTTGAGAGAACTATGACTTAAACTCCCTATCTCATAGGCACACAGTGAGGATGAACGCATTAAAAAAAGAGTTAATATATCACAATATAGTGATAGGAGTTCAATACTCTGCATACAGCGTAATTTATCTTTCTGTCTCCTGGATCAAGTACAGTTTCTAGGTGTGTGCAACAATAAAAACTTAATCTATTAATATATAAAGAAACCAAACAATCTTCATCCCTACATTCCTGTATATGAAACCATGAACAGAAACACAAACTTGTATGTATAAAGGGGAAATGCTGGGGTAGAAAAGAACAGAATTTTTTCCTTAATTACAATGGGCTTAAGACAAGGACAGGAACCACAAGCTAGACATAAATAAAGAAATCTGTTTGTTCCAGATTTGTTCCAACAGCATAAAAAAGAAACACAACAAAACCAAAAAAACTGTGCAACATATTCATATATAAAGTAGATATATAAGTATTTAGACACATTTGAAAAAAGACAATCCTTACTGCTATCTTGTGTAAGGAATACACTGTAATTTACTAGTATAGGAATTATATACTGTTCCCAGGGTGAAGTCTCTGTATTTCTTGCTCCAAACTACTCTGCCTATAAAATAGCTTTATTAGAATTTAGCAATGTTAAGGAAAAAAGTAAAGGTAATGTCTACAGCTCCCATTAAAAACCAGATCATACATTTTACAGTGATTATAGTGTAATATACTATAAAAATTGAGTTTTCACCAAATATTCAAAATTATAGATTTATTCAAATTCCCAGCAAAAAATCAAACTTGTGAATTCTGCAGGTTATATAGCCAATAAAATATTTATTGTTGCACAATGTATATTGTTAACTGTGTTGACTACTTTTCAGCAAGGTGCCAGAGAAATGAAAAATTAACCAGTGCAGAATATAAAATATGGGTGGTTTGAGTCCTAGAGCTAGTTCATGAGCATACAAAACAGATTGTATTCAGAGCTGTAATATAGAAATTCTTCAGTGAAGAAGACACCAGAGCTGAATACCTGACAGCAGAACAAAACAGAGAACAGCATTAAAGCCTTGTAGTTGAGGTGCTGCATGCAAATGCAGGAAGAGCTGAATTAATAATGTTGGAAGTCTAGCTAACGTAGACAGTGGCTGTGTCAATGAATGTTTTAATGACATCTTACTAGTTTTAAGGACTAAGAAGTGCATACATGCAGCCTGATGGAATTCTGGAAGTACAGTAAACACGTGGCTTAAAAATCTCTTTGGGTTTACAAAAACAAGTAGATATTTGAATATCCTTCTTCTCTGCAACTTCATAAACTGATCTATGAAGATCACACATGTGGTTTGAGGTGCATATTCTTGTTTTCAGCATTAAACATAATCACCCAATGCACCTTCTATTGTCTACCATTTATTCTTTTACAAAATTTACATGAATATTCATTTAAATGCCAGCTACAGCGCACCAAATGTTGATCATGCTATGAAAGGAAAAATTGAGTAAAACCCAACAATTTTAAGTATTCTCTAGATATTTTGAACCCTCATGCTGTGACTTCAAATGTATCTTTTTGTCCTCTTGATTTCATTAACTTCCTAATGGAAGACAAGGATAAGAGGTAGGCTGGCAGCACCAGACAGAGTAGGACTCAGGCTGTTGCTCCCGCTGTGCTGCACAGAAAGGTATTTCTGACCTGACCTGGCCATTCACAAGTTACAGTGGGTAAAAAAACCAAATACCCTGGAGTGAGGACTTTCATCCTTGCCCTTGGTCTCTCTGTTTCAGCTTTTTCTCTTCCAGCTTTTAGCCCAGATCACACCAAGAGTGGAAGTGCAATTGCACACTCGGAGTGAGCATGTGCTAACCTGACAAAGTGCTGAAAAAACAGCATTTAAGCTCAACCTTATTCTGTAGCTGTGGCCCAGCTGGACCCACACTCCTGCCCATCCTCTTCCACTGAAGCAGATTCCTCAAGCTGGGGTAGGGACACCCTCCTCCTCTGTGGGAGAAAGCCCAGGCTGCTGGAACAGCAAAAATATGTTCTGCCTCATTCTCCATAGCCCTCCTCATCCTCAAAGCACCATGGTGCTGACAACTGGCCAGGAAAAGCAGCTGCCTCTTAGGGTACAGAATTTAAAGACAGTTGTCTTTCTCCTCTTACCCCAACCAGTCACACTGCTTAATATTGAATGACATTGAAGGCAATATATTTGACAATGAAAAACTTTGCTGAATATTTCAGAATTAGCTATCCTGAAGAAACTGGTCCCTAGGCTACCCTAGCTCATGTTAAAAGAAAAATTATACAACGACATTTCAGAAAGCCCTTGGAGGCATGTGCTGGCTTTCTCAGGCCAGGCACACAGCAGCCACAGGTCCTGCTTTTTGAAAAGGAGGAAAAAACAGCTGGAATTAATTGAAAAATGCAGGTTAGATGTTCTCTTAGGATCTTATAGTTCCTGTATTCTTAATTGCTTGTTCTGTCAGCACTTGACACCTGCATATTTTTAAAATCTTTTTGATTTACACTGAAGCAGCTGAATTATTCCATCAAGCAGCATGAACTCAGTGAGAAGCACTGCTATTGTCTGCACGTTCCTGGTGTGCGAGGTGGGAGAGGGGAGCATGAGTGTGCTTGGAGGACAGAAACCCCATTCCAGCACCTTTCTGCTTCGACAGACTGCACCATGTACCTACACAACAGCAAGGCCAGATCCAAAAATCTAGGTGTCTAAAACTAGGTTCCTAAATTAATGCTTGAGATGCCTAAAAAACAATCTCTTGCAAAATTTAAACGATGAAGAAGCTCTTTTGAGACCAGTCAAAGCTTCAATATTTCTGAATCCGCTTTGGTACCTATGTCCAGGTTCCCATTTTAAGAAATCCTGGACTAGAATCTATCCCACTTTGATATTTAAAAGCACTATAGAGCAGAAAAAGCTGAACAGGTCTGGACAACCTGCACAAATGGGCAGGCAGCAGCCAGGCAGAGCAGCCATTCCACCCCACTGACTTACTGCTGTGGAAGGAACCTCACTGCTGAGGATGAAGACAGGCAAGGCACAGAAAATTTGCAGATTTTTACACACACTAAGCAAACGATTAAAAACACCATATAGAACAAAGATTCACAATAGATCAGCCACATAACTCTGTGGAAGGAACAAAGGTTTCATAAAAGAATAAATGAAAAAAAATTCCTGAGACTATGGGCAGCCCTAGAGACTTTTAAGTATTAGTCAGACCAAAGGCTGCCAGATGCTTCCAGAGTGACTGCTCACTGGGGAGCTCAGGCCTTTCCAATGGGGTGAGGTAGGTCAGCTGGAGACTAAAGGGTACAGAGATGCCCAGAGAAAGACCTTTTTGTTATGTTTGGGTTTAAGTGTGTTTCCTTCATGAGACATGGTCTGAGGCCCCATTATGTTTTCTATTTTGAGATTTTATTATGAGGAAAATAGTGACACTTTTTCTTTCTTTTGATTACTTCCTTCACTTGAAGAGTTTTGCAAAAACCTGGTACCTAGATAAGAGTGGCCAGTTCATGTTAACAAACAACTCTCCACAAGTTCTCTCTTTAACAAACTAACTCAGGGTATCCAGCCAGAAGAGCTTTCATTCCCATCCTCCATAAATTCTTTCTTTTGCCCTGCTCATTTCCTAAAGTAAATGAAACTAGCAGCTAAATTATTCTCTTTTTTCACCTTTCCTCTAGATTCTTCATAGTTTAGATTTTGCAATCTGAAGATTAAAGCTTATTCCCCATTTCCATGCAAAAGTAGAGTAAGGCAGAGCTCTTGTGCAATAGATGGACACAATAGACAATGTACAATAAATGCCTTTATCATGCCTTACTTACCTCTAGCACAGTCCTTTCCCAGCCCCAAGAAGTTCTAAGCAGGCATCATCTGCTCATCCCCATGACACTCCGGCAGCCAAGGGAGCTGAGTTGCTCACAGTAAAAAGTGCTTTGGGAACATAATACAATTTTACTTGTCTATGTTTTTCAGTCTCTCATAAAGTGATAGTAGACAAAAATTCCCCAAATAATAAATAACCAAAACAACATTTGAAATTAAATTCTCAATACTTACTTAGGACTGCTTGTTTGAAGCAACAGCAATGGTTGTGTAGGCAGTGCACAGACTGAAGAACTGGATGTGATATGCAACCATATCACTTTTTGACCATCTACTCTCCAGAGAGCACTAGCAGCAAATGATGGAGATCTGTGGAAAAGAGAAGTTCATTACATTAAAGCCTAAACAAAAAAAATTAGGAACGTGTAACAAAATGCAAAGCCAGAAGGTGAGGCTGCCTTTCATTAGGAAAAGGCCCATCACTGCAAAAATACCACTTATCTTCATGGGAATGCAGCTACGAAGCACTCCTGTGACTCCTGGGGAGGTTCAGACCTCCGCGTTGGAGACACTGCTATCAGAAACAACAGTTTATTCCCTATAATTTATTCAGTTCAGAAAAAATAATTACTTTCTCCATTGCTCTATTTTTTCTTTAAAGTGATATAAGCCTCCACAGATCAGTGAGAAATTTAGTTAAAATATTATATAAGGTGTTCATCTTGATGCCTAGAGAGGCTACCTGGAACAGAGGCTAGACAGAGTTAAAGAAATAAAGTAGGTATTTATTAAAATGCCTTCAAAGGATGCACCTTGGGCAGTACAAGAGCCCAGCTGTGGCTCTACAGAAGATGGACCCAAGAAGGACCACGAGTTTCCACACTTTTATAAGTTCTGGCCCATTTACATATTGGGGTTAATTGTCCAATTACAGCTTTAGGTTACGAAGTCCCATCCTCCCAGACTGCTCTCCTCAATTCACTGTTGTTTGCACCTTTTAACACCTGAAGCTCCAACACTGTCCTTGGTTCTCAGGCTGGAAAAATATTGTTTTGTCTGACTAAACTGTGAAGAGAACTTGCTGACATTTCATATGAAGTTCAGAGTTACACATTAAGGCACTATCTGAAAAATATGAAAGTTAAACTTAAGTCATCAGTCTTTGGGGAAGCCAGCATCTGGCTTCATGGAAGATCCGAGTGTGAAATAATGAAAACACAGGCCTTCCAGACTTGCACAAATCTTTCTTTAAAGATCTATCTCAATATTAATCTACTTTCCATTAATATCAAATATTTCAGAATTGCTTGTTCTAAAACAATTCTTTTTAATTTTATTAAATAATGACAGTACAATAACCTGAATAATTCTTACCATTTTAAGTTTATCTGATGAGATGGCAATATATAATAAACACTGAAGAACCTCAACTGTTGGCTTTACAAGCTCTTGTTTTTAGTTAATCCCAGGACTTCTGTTCAGGGTACTGTAGTCTTCATTCATTCACTTTAATTCTATTTCATATGAAGACAACATAACTCTTAGGTGAATTTTCACGGTGAATTGCAACATGATTGCTCTATTTAAGGTTTTGTTGAGTTGAAAAATTTTTTCATAGTGATATATGTAAACATACATATTTCACTTCCTTTTCTAGAAAGGGATGGTGATATACATATATATATATACATATACATACACACATATATGCATATATACACATGTAGAAATTTATATACTTCTATATTAAGAAAAAAAATAAAGTAAGAACTCCATTAAGAGCAATGATTCATTTACACCTTAAGAGTCTAACAAACATTCTACCAGGGTGTCCCATCCATGCCCAGGACAGGGCACAAAATAAAAACAAGGGATGATCAATTTAACAAAACTGATGACTTAACGGGAGGTAGATGATTCTCTTTTTTTTTTTTTCCTTTTGAAAGATATGTTGCTTCTCTTTTCATATGTCTGACTCAAAAGAGGTGACTTCAGGTATCTAGATAAACACAAAAGAGAAAAAAAAATGTCACATTATTGTCAGAGGCAGCTACGGTTTAGATACAAAATACTGAACCTGATCCAACTAGGTGATAATAGCCTAACAGGGTAAATTACTACAGTGAGTTATTTTCCTGCAATTTAGAGAAACTCTGTTGCTTCTTACTAAATTTTCTATGGAACATATATATCAATATATACAAATGCATATGCTGACACCAGCTGAAGTGATTCCAACTCCTTTCCCTACAGCCTCTTCCACACCAGATGACACGAGTTCCCTCTCACTGTGACGTATCCTTGTGCCTTCCCTTTTCCCAAGGGCACCTGGCACTTCCCACCCTCACAGTGGAAGTGGGGCTCAGCACACGGGTCCAAGGACAGCTTCCCCTGGTTTGGGGTGGGTGCTGCCAGCGACGCCACAGTGCCAGGCTGCACCATCCAGGGCCAGCAGCTCTCATGCAGTTGCTTGGTTTTTCTGCCACTCTACAGGCACACGCAGGAAAATTTCAGACTGGATGGCCTGATGTTTGCAGCTTCTTGTTAATAATCAAATAAAAATTTAGTGCATGGGAATAAATAAACACATATGTGCTCAATGCAGATCCTGATCACACACTACACACTGATACCAAATGGAAAGGAACCAGCACTCACCTGTGGTTCTAAGACCAAAACTGCCATTGCCTAGTACAGTAGAATATAACTGCTCTGAGACACAAGACAGATGGGGTAGGAAGATGTGAAGTGCTACAAATAAAGTCTAAAACTGAACTTTTAAATATTCATTCTGAACTATAAAGAGAGCTGTGGCTTTTGTGTGCTACAGATGGCTTGGAAATGCAGTGCAAACAAAGGACCAATTTCTGAATACTCATAGCTGCTCTACTATAATAGCTGGAGGCCCAAAACTCCAGGGGTTTGAGACGATTCAACTAGATCCTCTTACCTGCCAAATTTCATCAAAGCAACGTTGCCTTTAACATCTTATAAGGGATGAAAGAAATATGAATAGTGTGGGGTTTTTTAATGAAACACGGACTGCTTAAGCTTGAACAAAAAATTACAATATGAATGGAATGTGCAAGGTAAAGGGAAAACCATCATTTTATTATACATACTTAAAGCATCTTATAAGATGAAATCTGTACTTTTTATAGATCGAAAGGTTAAATAGAAATATTTCCTAGATTTAGATCAATGAAGGAAACAAAACCAAAAATAAGCATAATAAAAATCCCTGCTAGTCATAATCAATGAGAAACTGCTGACTGATTGCCAAGTATGGCCTTATGTTTAAACCTAGGAAAGACACATATTTCTTTGTAAGGTAGTGGGGCACGACCTCATCAATCAGAGATTATTCTCTGCATAATAGTTTATGGAAAGAAACCACTAATGCCAGCTCCTCATCTGCCTTCCAGACAGAGGCCAGCTGATATGAATACAACTGGAAGGGGACTCAACCCAAGCAGCACTGCTGCTAAGAGCATACACTGCTGCATGGATGTAGCGTAAATTAGCACTTCCTGACGCTGTTAGCTATTAGCTAAGATTATAAAGTCTCTGGCGCTGGAGAGGGGATACCCTCAGACCTTCTGCATGTATTTGAGCTTCTATAAGAATGGAAGTGGACAACAAAATCCCAAAGAAAGATGGATTCTCTATAGGGGAGCAGGGAACAGCCAAGAGGGAGAGAGGATCCCTTAACTGCCAACAGTCCTCCAAACACAGAAGCCACAGAAACGAACATGCCGCACTGAATCACAGCGAGAAGCCAGGTTTATGGTAATTATGAGGTGCCACTGCCAGCTGAAGGGAAAGTGCAGGAATAAGAGGAAAAGGCATGAAGGTCTTGACAGAAAATGTAACCATCCTGTAATGACAGCGAGAGCCAAGAGACTGTTGCAGTCTGATACCAAGTGATGGGTGAAAGATGACAAGTGGGTTACGTTATCTGTGAAATCTAGGGAATTAACCAGGAGGGATGGGCAGAGGGAAGCCTGGACAGCAAGAGCTGTTGGGGAAGGGATGGTTGAACTACTGCTCCATTTGCCAAAGTTAGAGAAAAGGGTTCTGTGAAAAATCAAGCTAAGGTGATGGGAGTTGGGTGATAAGTTTTAACTGCTTCTAGAAAAAACAGAAGTAGCAACTTATGGCAGAGAACCAGTCTGCTGGTTTGGGGAACAGCCCAGGTAGCAGGCGTGAACAGAAGAGAAAATTGAAACCTTGCTGCAGACAGACATAATCATTTACTGCTGGCAAGAGGAGAGAAAGGAGGACTTGGCAAAGCTGGAGGAAGCAGACCAGAGGACCAGAGCCCCCCTTTCAACCATGTCTGTCTGGTGCTGGATCTGCATTCATCAGAGTGCAAGCAAGGATTGCAGTCTGACAGTGTGGCTTGGCTTCCGTTCACAACCAAGACAAAAATGTGGCAGATGAACTGAGGGGAAAGGGCAGGATCCTCTGGCACAAAACACAGCTTTTCCAATGACCTTGCTGTCCTTTTGAAAGTAACTGCTTTCCAGGACAGAGTGTCCCAACAGGACACTTAAATGCCTTCAGCACAGTACAGTACTCAGAGATAAAATGAACAACTTTTCATGAAATCTGCCTCCAATAAAAACATCTTTATTGCCCTGGGCTAATGTGTAAGTTAGTGAGGGATGATAGTTCAGCTTCTGTAGTCATTTTATGGAAAAAAATCCATAGGGACCTCATCTGTTGGTCCTCTAAAATACAAAAAGAAGTGTTAAACTGCATTTAATCATGGTGATAGGCTATCAGCTATTTTCTTAAACCTTCATACTCACTGCTCTCATTCTAGGCAGAGCCAATCAACTCGACTTAATCATCTTCTTGCTCCACTTTGCCCCTTCCTTTTGAACATATGTAAATCCAAATTATTTTTTAATTCTTTACTAAAACACTGGCAAAATGAGTGCTCCCCTTCCAGCATACAGATGTGGAAGTTTACAGGCACAGGAGCTGCAGTACTCCAGGGCCTGATCCCCTGGGGCGGTGTGTCACTGGCAGGGCTTGGCAGAGGGCACCACTGCCTCTCCAGAGCAGTCCTCTCCTGTCTTCTCCTGCTCCTCTTCTAGAATGACAGCAATCATTATAGTGAGGTTATATTTGCATATTGTAAGGCCACAGTGACTGATGCTAAAATAACATAAACCTAACCCTGAGGTGAGTTTGCTTGTCTACAAAGGTATGCATCTGAATGCTTACCCAAACTGCCAGCCGCCTTCCACGATATGGTTTCCTCATGGACATCCTGATTACATCTTCCAAATGCCTTCTTCTGGGCTGTCTCTGCCCCTCTCATGTGATGGAAATGGGGTTCTCCTGTGCCTCACTTCCACTCTCATCTGCAGCCTAAATGTACATATGCAAGCTTGCATTACTAAGAGCAAATACTCCAAAATGAGAAGACTAGCTTTAAAATTATAAGTTGATTTCAGTGATCATAAATACAGTTCACATTGCAGCTCTGGCTGTTCACCTCTGCTGCAGAAAGGGGAAGTCTAGCTCTTCATAAAACACCAAGTACTCAGCAAGACCCAGAGTGAAAGAGGAGTTATTTTTGTTGGTCTGTTGCCTTCTCTAAAGCCTGTAATATAACAATTCATGCATACATATCACAAGAGGCAGCAGGGCTGTCACCACCAGTTTGCTGCCTAATGTCTCATGTTTGTAGGAGCACAGCTGTGTTCGCTGCCAGCTCCTGCAGTGGCAGGCTGGGACCAGGGATCCCACAGGGACAGGTGCTGTCCCATGTCTCCATGCCTTCATCCAGAGACAGAGGTGGAACATGCATTATGTGCTGCTCTGGCTTCAGCACACTGCTCTTAGCATCTGTTGATAAAGTGGGAACTGTCCCCCAGTGCCCAAGCAGCAGATACACACACAGTGGCTGGGTCCATACCACATTCACAGGCCAGCCTGTGTTCCTGCAGCAAGCAGTTCACGATCCAGTTCCCAGAATCGTCCTAATGCAGTTGACTGAGCAGGACCTGTGCATATAAAGAGCTCTTGGGCACTCTCAAAGTCCTATCATTATATGAAGTGTAAACTCGGGCATTATCTTTCCTTTACACTCCCAACCAGAAGATGGGACCACCAGCATCCCACTGTTCCTCCAGCTATACATATGAAGTTTCCACTTCTGTCACAAAAATAAACAAGCCAGAGGAAACTCACCCTGCCTGTTTTAATGCCCCAATTCCCCAGCCTGTGAAAGACTATCTACATTGCAGTGTGTTTCTGTCCAAGCCTTAATGGTTAACTCTCTCCCAGGAATCACTTTCTTGGGGAAAGAAGCACTGAAAAATCAAACCCCTTGCTGCAGTTGTTTATAGAACAGATCACCAATTCTGGGAGATCAATGGGATAAACATGGCCCAAACTGTTTACTGTATAATCATAGTAAACTTACAAGGATGCTTTTATAAAATGTACTTTAATTGGAGAAGCTTACTTTTTAATTTGCAATTTTAAATGTGAGCATGTTATAACTTGTACATGAACATTTCTATAAAGATAATTACATATGGCAAGACAGAAAAACTTTCTAAAACATTTTCTCTTGAATGTGTGCCTGAATTCATTTACAACTGTTGCTGCTTTAAACATTTCAGGCAGAATAAGTGGATGGCACTAAACAGCTTAGCTGCAATTATTATGGAATGTCTGAGGTATAATTTCCCCTGCGGTTTTGTTAGGCGTGCAAAATTCATAATTCTGATTTGTGGCAGGTACTTATTACCCATCGCAGGTGGAGATATGCAAATATTATTCTAGTAGGGTTGAACAGTCTTTATTTCTGTATTCAGCTATTAACGAGATTTGTGAGTCTGGTACTCTGGGGCCATTTAATTAATTAGATGGTACAGATAAAATATAAATTGTTTTGTAGGCTACACAATTCCAGTTCTAGAAGATGTAAAATATGGCCAAATGAACTTAGTATGGACTGATTTATTGTTTCATGTATGGAAGAGGGTAAAGGAAAATTCTGCCTGTTACTTTTGCCTATATAATCCCATACAGCATCCTTGCATTGTCAAGTATTGTGGAAAAGGGATGTTATTTATTTGTCATTATTATTAAGAATGTCTATCAGTTATCCACTTTATAAAAAATTGCTGGCATGCATCAAGTAAGCTAAAAAATAGGCATGTTCTTTTATGGAAGCCAATATGTGCATGTTTCAGAATAAGCACGTATTTCCAAGACATTTAGATTTGGTAGGATAATATTGTCTCAAGGTCTGACACTTCTATTTTAAATAAATCATTTCCATGGGATAGATAAGCTAAACTTGCTAGGGGGGAATGCAGAAGAAAGCTATAGCAGTATGTTAACATCTAGAATTTCAAAGAATTATATTAACTGGTTAATTCATGTATTTCTTTTCCTAAATTATGATCTCTCTACTCCTCCAGAAGATTTCTGGATAATTTTGAATACAGGAATTGGGGTTAAAAAAACCACAAGGTGCTTTTATTCCCAGAAGTGATAGTTATAATGGTCACTATAAAAGAAACAGCATTTACCAGGAGTTACAGCAAAATACATGGTGAGACATTCACCCTCTCCTCATATGGAGGAAATAAAATGCACAAGGCATGAGACCGGAAATTGTTAGCAAACTGTCGGCATTTAAAGACAGGCATTGACCATTATATTAGTTTTAAATTGCAGGAAAATACTACACTACACAATTACAGTACTATAAACATTGAATGAAAACCAGTTAGTTTTGCTAAAGTAGGAGTATAAACAGCAGTCACTCTTATTGGTTTATTGAACATATTTTGGGGCCCATTCCAGCTGTCTTTATTAGCTCTAATGCAAATGATTTTGCACTGCTATTTTGCCAAGCTCTGGTAGCTGTACTGCTGCAAACAGAGCCTGCTGCTTTGTGTCTGCTGGAGATTTACTGACAAATATGATAAAGGATACATAAAATGAGTAACAATACAGAACTGGCACCATACAAGAAAAGGAAAACTAACAGGGGGAAATTATACCATAAGGGTAGGAGCTGGTATGGTTTTGTGAATGTAAATCAAAAGCATACAAGTTTAATTTTAAATACATACCAGGATTTTCTCTGGTCACTCCCCTGCAGGGTGGGCAGAGCTGGTCATGGCCCTGCAGTTGCTTCCCCTGGGACCTGTCCACCTGCCTGGAAGGCTGGAAGTTGATTCAGGGCTGACAGACCCCACCAAGACCTGAGGCTGGGCAAGAACAGGAAGAGTTGCAGGGAGATGGGAGCAGGCTAGACCAGGACAACCATCTGAGAAGGAGGAGAGTTTCTGGCATGGGAGGTCTGCAAAGACATAAGGACTGCACTTTACCCAAAGAAAGAGCTTCTGATGTTGGAGACATTCTGCACAGGAGAGCTACAAACTCCTTTGAATAGAGCTAGGGAATATGTGGAAATATGGCTGCAGAAGTAAATAAGTGCAAGGTAGAAAGCAGAAAATTAAAAGGAGAAGGCATTGATTGGGATCTGAGAAAAAGGGCCGGTCGTATTTTGTGGGTGAACAGAATTGATCATGTCAGATATTTACCGTGGCTCAATTTTCAGTAAGAAACGTCAATTGACTATGTGTTGAGAAATTCCCTGAAGCAGAGGAGGCTGCAAAACCAGGATAACGTGTTGGGAAAAGAGCCGTGGGCAACTGAGTCTGAAAATGGGATTTCTAGCACAGGAGGGCAGTGGGTGTTTTCATTACAGCACCAGCACAGGTAACTTCACATTGAACTGTCAGCTGCAATCTGCACACTGAGAAACTTGAGGAATCTGAGTGCTGGTACAATGGCAGTGCAAGGGCTATGCCTTTACGGTACACTTGTGGGAACAACCCAGGAACATCACAATATTCAATTCCTAAAAAACCCTGCCAGCAAGCACCAGAGATTGAGTGAATAGCTTGGGTGGACAAATGGAGCAGAATTACTGTGACCAGAACTAGAGAAAATCTCAAGGAGGAAAACATATTTTTAGTTAAATACAGAACAATATAAATGACAGTGATATCTATGGAAATGTTTTAATAGAAAAACAATAAACACTTATGGCATTCAGACACAATGAGGCCAAGTTACCTGCAGGCTTTAGATAAAATGCAGCAGAGAATCAAACTCATTTCAATCTCACCTCTCATAGCAGTTGCAGAATATGGACTGCATCTCCTCCACATAATGACAAACTGTTTAGGAAAAAAATTAAGTCTCCATTTCCATAGAATAAATACACCAGAATAATATTCTGCATTTCAATACCTTAAATTGGATAAACAATACCCCACGGGTAGAATCTTTAAAAGACCATTCCTGCAGAAGATTAAATCTAGAAAACAGTTTTAATTAAATCTTTCCAAGGACTTCATAAAAACCCAGGCACAGCAGCAGTGCTGTGTGCAGTACCTCCACAGCAGGTCTGAGCTATACAGTCCAAAATGAAGGAGGAGTTCTAGTATTTCCTTTTATTTTTTTTCCCCTAGGTATGCAAGCAGAAACACATCATTATTTCAAAATCAATGCACAAATGAGAGATGTGATCAGAGAATTACATCTGTTCACAGTAGCACAGAGAGCAGTGCCATGGGCCAAGGGCAGCTCCTGAGCTGTTGAGGGGAGCAGTGCTGCATCAGGCATTTGATGCCTCTCAGCTCAGAGGGAACTGCTGCCTGCTGGTGGCTGATTATCACCAGCATTACAATGTCAGTGAGCAATGTTTTAGGTGGCACTATAATATCTACCAGGGATAGTTTTTGCAGAGAAATAATGGAGCGAAAATGCCTGTGTAAAGAACTTCTGCTCCACCCAAAGATGCTGCTGGGCAGGCATCACTGCCCTCCTACAGCAAGTGCTCCTCAGCACAGAAGCCCCTGGATGAGCCCCTACCCGCACGCAGAGAACCGTATGGGAGCAGTCACAGGCACTTGAGGCCATGTCCTGTTGGGCACAAGGCAGGGGCAGGAGGGTGAGACCCAGAGAGTCCCACGGGGTCAGGGACACACAGCATCTCAGCCACTAGGGTGCCACTTCACCAAGGTGCTCAGGACGAGCAGAACCACTTGCTTTGAGTTCAGCTGACAACATACCCACCCCCCACTCCATCCCCACTAAGAATATTAGCACAGAATTTCTGCACCCCTGTCATACACATGAAACACTGGCAATCACAAAAGGCTGGGTAAGGGCTGACTGGCCATTTTGAGAGCACTGGAAATCAGCCTAAAGCTCTGTGCCATATGTATAGATGATGAGCAAAACCAAGAGCAGAGGATGTACTCGAGAAGAAAACAACAAACAGCAACAAAACATTACCTTGGAGGAAAAATCTGATAAGCAGTCTAAATCAAAACAGTGCCCAGCCCCATCAAACCACAAGTTTGTTGACGATTGCCTGCCTCCTGTTATAACAGCTATGTTTATTCACATATTGTGCTTTTTAAGCTGTACATTCAGCCAGTACAGCTCAGTGTAGCTCCTCTGCCACCACAGTACAGTAAGGCTGCAAACATGACTTCAGCAAGGTAAGATCAATTTACACATACTAAGAAAGCATTCAAAAATTAATGCAACTAATCTCCTGGTTTCACTTGACAGGAGGTAAATTATTGATCTTTGCAATATGAAAGTACCAAAAAGAACAAACTCAGAACGGCACACTTTCATGTGCACCCTTGCCTCCTCTTGTCAAACTTAAAACAGTCATATCCAAAGAGCTGCAGGGAGATTTGAGAAACACATGTTCACCCTGTAAAATTTAATCATGGTGCAAGCAAAAGGCAGATGCTCCAAGAAGCCTGTGGTTGTGTAAACAAAAAAGAGCATAACCTGAACCCATGGCACAAACCCAGGCTCACAGAAATACATGTAGGAAGACTGGCAGTTTAGAGTTTTGGAGTCTTTCCTTAATCTTTAATACGCAATTAAGGATGTACAGCTCTACAGCCAAAGCCTGGTACAGGCACTGATACATCACCCATTCTTCTCACTCATGGGACAAGCCTGTTTTATTAACCAAACTTCCTTTCTCCCCATTTTCCCCCCTCTCCTGGCAGCTCCCTACACTGCAACATAAAGCAGAGCTCCTACAAAGGCACTGACAGGCTGACACTCTATGGAGTGAAAGCCTCCTGCACAGCACCCACCTCCCTCAAACCTTCCTGCTTCTTCCACATAACCACCACAAAAATACGGCATGGGAATTTCCATCCCCAATAGGCAATATATAAGAGAGGAACACAAAATAACTCTACTAACAGTCCCCAATATTTTCCCTGCTTCTTCACTGTCATCATTGTGGAAAAAGGAGCAATTCCTCTTAGACAGGTCATTGCTCCTTGACCCTAAATACACAGCATTGCATCAGGCTACAGAAAGTCATGTGATGCAGGCTAACATCTCCTGACATTAGCTAAAATAATTAATTTGTTACTCTTCCATTCTGTATAGCATGTGCATTGATTCATTACATGGACAAAACAGATTGAATGGTCTGAGCACAGGAAAGGTTTTCATTGAAGACACGAAAATTATATTTTTCTTGTTTCATTTTTTGTATTTTTAAGCCTGAAAATTCTAAATTACACCTAACCTTTTTGTCTAACACATCACTGTGGCCTTCCAATGTATTTCAGTAGGAGTTTCGCAGCTTCCACCAGGTACATCCCACTCTTCACAAAGCCTATAACAGCAGGAGGAGTGTTCCTAAACTTTGTTTCAAGCTACAGCTGTATTTAATATGGCATATTCAACTGCATCTCCCAAAAATAATCCTGCTGTCTTCTGGAAAGCTTTTGGCCCTACCCTGTAAGGAGGAACATTATCTTGCATATTCTGACTTTGAGCAGAATTTGAGCACAGGATGATGGAGAACCCCAGTGTATTGCTATGACATGATCTTTTCTCTAAATTCATTCAAGAGTGAATTTTGCACTACTGAAACATGATACATCACAGAGCACAGACACAATTTCATGGGCAAACCATATCATTGAGAACTTGGCTTAATATTTATCCTAATCATTTTCTGTATTTCCTCTCATCATTGTCTCCATCTCAGATGATGAATAATTTCTCTGTCTTTTCCATTGTTTTATCTCAGAGGTGCTATTGATTAGGAATAGGTCCTTTAGGTCTTTCCAGTTCTAGAGACCTGGTATAATTTTCATCAAGTTATTTTTTTTTTGCTGCTTGCTGTAGTACTGCTTTCTCCTCCTGCCTTTTCACCTTCCTTTCAAAGACTGGAAATGAGTGGGATGAAAGTTAATGGTCCTCTACTTACCTTACTACTTCTGCTAGCTTTTAACTTCAATATTGGTGGTAGTTCACATCTAACCACTAAACCATTACTGCCTATTTTGCCTTCAAAATGCTCATGTTAACCTGAAAAGATGATTCTAAAATGAGTTCTACTCTAAATTTCCTTATAATGTCATGTTAGTGAAATTCTCCCTTTGTTTTAGGAGAATTTATAGCAACACTCTACATTATTATTCTGTCAGCTCATCCCTTACCTAAAGTTTTGCTGGAGCCCCACTGGAAAGACTAATATATTTTTTTCAAATTTATTTATACTGTATTTATGTATTTCCAGGAGGAACACTATATGCCACCAATTTTTTTATTCTTCTCTTGTTTTGCAGCACACTTAATGGGGAAATTCTTCCCCTTTAAGTTTATATAAAGTTCTCTTTTTTCTTTAATTTTGATTGTGTTACTTGATTATATTCTCTTTTCTTGGTATAATCACAATCTTTCCCACCTCAATCCTCCCCTTTACCCTCTACTTCTTGCTTCTGTACCAGTATTCACTCCTGTGAACTAGAGAGATGCAAGCAGATGAAAGATAGACTGTTTCCTTTTTTTTTTATTATTTTATCAGAAGCTTATAATTTTCTCAAAAAATTGAGGTGTCACAGAGTACTGTCAAAGGCTATTAGTTTATCACATTTTCCCCTCGATGCATTACAATTCACTTGTATGCTGTCTACTTTAAGCACTTATTAAGTATTATTTTCCATGCCCTCAACAACATCCTGAAATGACTGCAGCATCTTCAGCAGACAGGTTCTCTCAGCAGCACTGGTTTGCACTCTCTTTGCAGCCTGTATCAGTGATGTCCTGTGTTGTACATCCCATACCAGCCTGCATGTGCTGCACTGAGCCTCAGTGTACTGCACAAAATCATGGAGAAGGGCAATTCCTTTTGGGAACCCCCCCCTTGTTTCCCTACAGTCAGTGAGTGCAGCAGCTCAAGGGTGCAGCATTTCAGCCATTGGGCACTCTGCCACAGAAGAAGCAGGAAGAGTCTCTAGCTCCAGATCATAACAATCACTGCATTCCCACCACCCATGCTGTAAGCGCAGCTTCAGTGCGCTGCACACTGCTGCAAGCACGGGGTGGGAAAATGCACCTCAACCGTGTGCCCAGCAGGGATTTGTTGATTGCTATTTGCAGCAGAAAGCTGTGATTTACTTTAGCAATCAACCACAAATTAGCATGGTCACATCATAGGCAAACTCTTGCTCACCCAGAGGTTTTACATCCTTTCTGAAAGGGAAATGGCTCCACATATGCTATTGTCCTGCTGCCTCCCAAGTACCCTTTAGACTATAGCTCATTTTAGCCAAGTGTCTTTCTGCTGGCAAAAACCAGGAAAGAAGGAAAGAATTAACAATAAGATCATATGATTATGCCCAATGATTTAGAGTTGGTATTAAATTTAGACTAGCACTAAAATCACTGTAGCTGTCACTGCGACTTCTGCAGTATACATATATATGCAGGTTACCACAAGACTTTCTGAATAGTACCACTATCTAATAAAAGTTTGATAGACATTGTAGTTAGCCTTAGTACAGTAATTTAACCTGTAAAAGTTCAGAACATGTGTTCTAGGAATTATATGAAAACCCAAGTAACCAACTTGCATCTGGAAAATAATTAAGCACTGAAAGATTTCATAACTGTTTCTAGTATCTTTAAGAGATAGCAAAAGAAAAGATTGCCAGGGGGAAGGCTGTCCGCATGCTTCCATTAGTTCCAGAGAACTAATATTCCAGCTCTGAGCTCCAGAGAACTCAAATTCATTTTGGTGCCAGTGCAAAGGGTTTGGCTTTAGAGGCTTTCTATGTGAAAATGCAGGTTTTGCTCACTACACCACTAACGAGAAGTAGAAAATTAAATAATGCATAGGTGCAATTAGGCAAAGCAGTTTCCTTTAGTACCTTCTGCATGGTACAACAACACTCATTGTTTGCTAATCAAATACTAAAAGTAAATAATCTGTGGTGGAATCGGGGCTACTGTCAACAGGGGAGGAGAAGAGACCTGCCGTGGCAGATGCATGTGGGGAGATGCCACATCCTGGAAGGGGCTGGAAGCACCATCTGCAGAGTTTCTGATGGAAACCCTAATGGGATGTCTTTAAAACCTTCACACAGGAAGGCAAGTAGATAATACATGTAGCTTTGCTTAAGCACATTTCAAGGGTTTGCACCAGCAATTGCACAGAGGTTTTACTACAGACAAAGACTACTTTGTGTTTAATGGTAAGAATATCCATATGAAAGCAGGTCCACCAGCAGTTGGAGCACAGCTTGATGAATTACAGAAGGTTTTATGACATCTTTTTAATTTGATTTTTTATTTCTAAAGAAGAATTTTCTGGTGTGACAAGTACAAGCCAACTATTAACTATTAAACAAAGGGGAGAATATTTTGGTTAACAGTCTTTTACTCTCTTTTTGAATGTCAGCACATGTCCCCCTGGCAGATTCCATAAATTCAAGAGCTACCAGATGGCTGTGTAACAGCAATGCCCAAAATACACTCTAGAAATTAAAGAATCACAACAGAAGACAATAAGTGGGTCGCTAAGAGACACGAACATCTACTCTCAGTCATCACTTCCATTAGGTGGACAGAGCAATTTTAAACAGCACCAGGAGTGGCACATCTTCCACCTACAAGAGAGTGGAGCACAGCCTGCTCTAGTGCAGTGCAACATAGCAGCACACAGCAGATACAGCTTGAAATGTGTATGTTTTAGAAGAGTTGATTTTAAAATCAAGGTAGTGGAAGTGAATAGAAAATGACAAGAATAATTTTCTTGCAGCATTTGCCTCTGGGAATGATTTATCTCCACACATAATGCTCATCTGAGTTTTGAAACTTCTACACAGGATTTTCATTTTTTTTCTTAACTAGGCATTTTACATATCCCCTTTTCCAAATCTATACTCACTTTCCTTTATGATTATGGGGTTTGGGATATATTTTTTTTTGCTATACTCAGTAACTTTCCCAGTTAACAGCAGTGTTACAAGAAGCATCCTGTTACAGGTGTGCAATCCAGTCATCAGGGATATGTAGATAAATTATTCACAGTTTCAATTTCCCTCATGTAGTTAGTAGTTGCTGTACAAAATCTTGCCCGACAATGGTATTTTTATGAAAGCTTAACTCCCATCGACAAGACGTCATTGATTTAGGAAGCGTAGTCTAAGTGAATATTTATATTCTGAATTTCTGAGAAAAGAAAATGTTACCCAGGACAAATGTATATGCTTGCACGAAGCACTCTCTGCAAGAGGGCAGCAGAACATGACTTCAGTCAGACACCGCAGCTTTTACATAAAAGAATTTCAGAGGTGTGAACAGCAGGGCACGGAGTGCTGAGAGAGGCAGGGATTTGGGGCTGCTGTCTGTGAATAGGACAGTGCTACAGGCTGAAGCCTTCACGGTGCAGAAGCACATGTTTACAAGAAGATCTCGGGCTTGTAAACAGCAGGGCTTTAAGCAAGCAGAGGAGAGTTCATGTTCCTGAGAAGCGAATGCAGTACAAAATGTCCTGCTTCTTCACAGAGTCACCCCGCTTGCAGCTGTCTAAAATTAGAGACACAGCCATTGTTCCAATGGATAATCAGGGCTAAGAGCTTTTTCAGGGCATCTCTTGACAGCCTGAGGGTTGGTACAATTCAGCATGTCAGTTTAGCTGCACTGAAAATCTGAAAAGGCCAAATTACAGGGGTTTTTTTTCTGTATTGCGCTACAAAGATACTAACAATATCAACAGGATTAATTTGATGATGAGATTAAAAACACGTTAATGCCTTTTAATGAGATCAATCGTATTCCAAAGAGAAAATGGAACTATATCAGAAGGGAGTCAGGGGAGCTGGTTTAATGTGAGTGCAAAATTTGGTGCCCATGAAAGATTTCTTGGTAAATTTTTAAAATTCCCTTTAATCTCCACTTCCAATGGCTGGAAGTCCATTAAGGAAAAAACTATGCGATTCCAGTTTTGAAATTAGAAGGCACCACAATAAATAATGTTCCTTCATCAGTGTTTGAGAGGCAGTTTACAGTAGTCCCACATTTCAGAGGAAACGATGCTGAGAGGGCAACACCAGAAATGAGAGCACTGAGGTAGAGCCCCTGATAATGGCAGGTAAATGCTGAAGTTCTCAAAATGCGCCCACCACTGCTACACAGCAAAGTTCCACTTTGCTTGAATTCACCAGAAATGGCTTTGTCTCTACTTTGCTATCCAAGACACTGTCTCCAGAAAGAAAATGGATGATCATAGAAGACACCACAGCAAAGTGGCTGCAAACTAAAGAAACAAAACTGTGCAACCTAGGTTCAACAAATAACAAAGAGGGAAAATAGTAGTTGTTAAGCATGCCTCATAATCCACAAAGTAATCATTAAGTATCACAAATTATTCAGCAGCTTTCTAAATTTAATTACATTACATCTTCCTACAAAAATCCATGCCTGTGCAGTCCAAATTTGAATATGACATGAGCAAAGCATTCCAATGTATCAACTAGCCAAAAAAATTACTTTAAAAAGTAATTGCAAACCAGAGCCATTTTTGTGCTCTGTAGCAGTAATTTTTCTTTTCTCAGCACAACATGAGGTCTGCTGTCCATGTTATCATGAACACATTGGTTTAAAGTTTCACAAATGTTGATTCAAAGTTCAAGTAAGCACATCCTGTTCTGTATGATTTCAGACGATTACAACACTCAGAGTTTATTTCTCGCAGAATTCACTGAATGCCCCCCTCCACATCAAGGAACCTCAGAGGACTCCATATTTGAGATAACAGGCTTTCTAGCACCCCTACCCTCTGCAAATATATGAGCATGATTTTTTACTGCTATGACAAGGTTAATTATTTCACATTGACTTCTAAATTTGCAATTTGACTGTGAATTGCCATTTTGATGAGGACTTAACTGAACACCTCAGTCACCAAGACATGTTCATATGTCCTACAGGTAGCAGAGCCTGGTGCACCAACACATTCCATATTAACTGTCTGAATATACTGATTCAGCTGCACTGCAGCCACCTTACCCTTACGAGCAATCACCATCTCTAAAAGAAGTCTGACTGCAATTAACAAATGCCACGGGAGATACTGCAGCACCTTCTCCCTCTACTTCAAAAGCCCAAGGAAGCTGCCTAGACAAACAGAAATGCAGCTGGCAGCAAATGCAGTTCTCTGAACAGCACTACCAGGGCCTGTGCAGCTCCTCAGCCCTGCAGTGCAGCAGCTGCACCCTCCCTTCCACGCCGTGCTGCCACCAGCTCTCAGTCCCGAGCAGCCCGGGCAGCGCCCCAGGAGCCATCATCCCAAAAGCACAGTCTGCCACCTTCCTTCCTTTCTACACCATCGCTAATGCCTGTGCACATGTGGAGGAACAGAAAATGACCCCTTCAAGTCCCTGGGTGGGAAGAAGGTGTTATTCTGTGGCCTCAGCTCTCCATTTTATAGCTGGCTTCAAATTACTGGTTTTTAGGTAATCTCCTTCATTTCTACCAAACACATCCCATGCCATTTTTATAGCCTATGCTTCTTTCCCCAGTCCTATACCATCCCTCATCCTGGCTACAACTGCACCAGTCTGGTATTTTGCATCATTTTAATGCCATATTTCTTTCTATCTTGGACGCTACCTCCTTACTGCTTAGGACTGCTCCAGACTGATGAAGGCAAACAGGATTATTCAAGATAATTAACATTTCTATAGGGCACTGACAATTGCACACAGATTTGAAACCCAGGATACAAAAGAGCAACATCAATTACAATGCTAGGAGGATTCTCATTCATTATCTTGTTTACTTGCAAACACAAAATTAGTGATGCCTGGATTAAGATTAGAAACAACATAAACTACTATCAGTCAAAAAAAATCCTTTCAAGCGTATTTTACACAGAACACATGCAGTACCTCTTAAGATATGAAAAATGATGCTATCAAAGACACTCTAATGGAGGGAATCTTTTTCTCTAAGAGTAGAACTATATAGAGAGAGAATAGAGAAAAATGCTTATGATAATTTATTTAGATTTCTTGCTAGTAAATTTAAAAGAAGACGCATAACAAGCTGTAAACCAAGGAATAATAGTTAAATTAAACTGCGAATTTCAACTTTATAATTCTGACTATTTAAAAAAAAGAAGTCAAAATGGGTCATAAACACAGTTTCTGTTGTTTAATAAAACTATTTCTAAATTATAAAATTACACTTAATTGCTGGAAGTCAATTGAAAAGATCATTTTGCCGTATGCCAGAGGTCATGAGATGCAGCTAGTACATGAAAGACATCAAAGTTGTACTTCAGCCCTACAAAGGATAGCACTTTTCCTGATCAAAAACCTGAAGGTGATTATTAAAAAAAAAAAAAAAAAAAAAAAAAAACCACAAAAACAAAAAAAAACCAACTAGCAATATTTAGCAGCCTTTAGTGAGTCAGAACCAAACAACAGGAGCCAAGTAAATTCTTTAAACAGAATTCAACCATCTCCGGAGTCACAACCACCCAACTCAAATTTCCAGGAAAGACCCAAAGACCCATTTACTCACTCTGAAACAGCTCCCATGACCCAGACAAATTCTTGGCTGCTGCAGACTCCTGTCCTGCCTGTCCTGGCTTCACCTACAACAAGGCTGAAAACAAATACATCAGTTTTTATCTTTCATACAGAATTATCTGAACCATCAAAGTTTTCTTCACTTACAAAGTCGATCCAGGGTACAAGATACAGCTCTTTTGAGGCTTGAGACCATGATGTCCTTGGGTTTCCAAGACTGAGGGGAAAAAAAAAGAAGTCAAACCCAAATCAAAACCAACAAGCCATTATTTTTTCTCAGGCTTTTTTTTTTTTTTTTTTTTTTTTTTTTTTTTTTTGTGTGTCCCTGAAGATGGAAACCTTCTTGTCTCCTGATCTAAGCCTATGCAAAACCAAAAACACCAGGTCTCCAGCGTTTGCTAGGGGTCATTGACTTGCCTGTACTCATGATGTAATTCACTATATTACACCAAACATCACAAAAGTGTGACAGACACAGTGAAGTCAATAAATACAAGGAAATCTATAAAGGGTCTCTGCACATAAAATAGACTTTGGTTTATCAGGCTAACAAGGACCTTCCCAGAGCCTCCAGACAGCGGTTGTACAAGGGTGCCTCAAATTCTGGTCCCCGAAATGCTGGCGACAAGGCTGCAAAAGACTTTGAGAGGTATTGTTTTTACAGTATGATCTTAAAAGTACTTTCCTCATTTTAGGACAGCTATTGAAGTACAACGAAAACCATTCACCAGACTCATTCTGAAGACAAAATGAAACAACCTAATATTTTGGTTCCAGACTTAAATTTAGACTCTAACAATTTTAAGTGAATACTAACAGAAACTAACTGAGTCCTTTCTCACCTCTTCTTGTTTACAGTCTCGTAAACTGGGATACCACACTACCAGTGTCACACAGGATGTCATTTTTCCTCTTGGCAAGTAAACACATGTGAAAGAAAAGGCATTGCATTTTTAATGATAGTAACAGAACTTAGTAATGGAGCTTTTGCTAGGTTCCAAAAGGACAGCTTCAGGTTTCTGATGTACAGTACAATGTCTTTAAGATCCATGTCTATTTTTCCACCCTGCTGAGCACAGTTTAAAATGCAGAAGCAGCATATTTCAATATTAGACTATTTTACAGTGCACATGAGTTCAAAACAGAAGAAATAACATTAAAAGCAGTGAAATCAATCAAATGAATTAGCTGAAAACAAAATTAGAGCATAAAACAACAGTAGGCCAGGAATAGACAGGCTGTCTCCTCTTTTTCTCTTGGGAGAGATTTCTTTTAGTATGGCTTCAGTCACTCACCCTGACATTTCCTTGGACTCCCCAGAGCCCCTTGCAAGGCTGGGTCAGGACTGAAGTTAGAAGATGCTTCTTAGCATTTACTTAGCAGTTAACAGCCACCTTCTTTACTTAGCAGTTAACAGCAGGGAAAATAGCCACATTTTTAAAGCACAGGGTATCTGCATTTTGTGCAAATTTTCTTAATCTTTCATCTAATATGTAACTAATTTTCAAGTACTTATGTAATTTTTTAAAATCTCAAATCCTCATTCCATCAGGACTATCTCTCATCCTTGATTCTTCCAGACTTCAGTGTTTCTCCTCTCCAGCATGCTGCCAGTACCAGACTGCTCCTTGGCTCCTGCTCCTAACTCAGTTCCCTTGATTTGAAATAATTTCTCCCTTTCTTCTCAGATATTATCTACAATGATTGATGGTCAGTAGCTGCTCTGCTCCTACAGCAACTGGCAGCAGACAGGGGGAGATAGGGCTGCTGCAGAGCCCCCAGCCCGAGTTTCACCTGAAACCCAACACCAGAAACAGTGAAATCCAGACCTTGAAGACAAGCAGCAAGGGACGTCTGCTGGTAGATCTCTATTTAAAAGAAAAAGCAAATTCACAGTGTGAAATTGGAGAGCTCCTTCCAGGTCATAAGGAAAGTTTGGGGGTTCCCCCCCTTCACCAGGGCCGCACACCCTTGGGTTGCGGGGAGGGGATAAAGTGTGACTCAGAAATACATACCATATTTGCAAAATATGATAGAAAAATACTGAGCCTGGCACAAAAGGAAAGAAAAATCAGAAAAGGAGTTATGCTTAAAGGCAGCCCTAAAGGGAGTAAACTTCTGGTTTTTGTAGGAGGAATGAAAGGTTATTGCTCCTACATGACAAGAATAGCATTTTTTACATTCCCCTTTCCAATAACAGCAGCTAAATTCTCATAGGATTCAATGTTTACGCTCACAAAAAATCAATTTTTCCCTTTTATTAAAAAATTATGTACAGTAAATTGCCACTACAACACAATCTACATTGTTTAACATACCCTGCTTTGATTTACTGTTCCATTCATAATCTGCTGATGATTAAGCTTCTCAAAAACAATCCACTAGCCTTTCTAAGTGATATCAAGTTGTTTGTTTTTAATCTGCTGAAAATCATCCTGTAGACAGATGCATTACTGAAGAATTACATTTTAATTTATTTTCACACAGTGCCTGTGATGGGCATTTGGATTAACAGAGTACAATAATGCTTCTTTATGCCTGTATCTATTCAAATCAGAAATTACCTGCATACACTGTCTCTGATGGTGGTCAAAAACTGTACAAAGAACTGAGAATAGTGCTTCTTAATATCACACAGCCCTGCTGCTCATCAATGAGTCTTTTTCTGTTCTAATGCTTTTGTCATGTATATGAAAGTCATTATGTAGTTTAGAAAACAGGAGATGAAGTGAAAGAGGAAGATCAGGGACCTGGGATGCATTAATATTCTACCAGCGTCAAAGATATTTCCCTCGAGGGGCTCCTACAGGCCACACTGTTATTACAGTGCCTATCCATTATCTTGTGCTGTACTTGGTATTAAGACAATAATGGAGAGAATAGGATTATGTGCAGATGATAGGAAATGCGAAGGCAATTCAGCAAGATAGGAAATGAATGGAGACATGATTCTTTCCTCGAAGCTGGGAATGGTTTAGCATAGGGTAAGGGAGAAGATAAATGAAGCAAAATTAAATCTTTACAGGTTAGCTGGGGTAAAATGAGTGTTTACATAGAATCCGATGAGTTTAACCTTTTTGATACAGAATATCACAGCATCTTTCTTTAATGCAGCAGTGTATATGCCTTCAGAGATCTGGTTTGATCTGAAAACTCACTCAACACACATAGGGAAATGACTAGTATTAATTTGATAGAGCAGTCTTCTGTAAGGGAGAACCATTTAATTTGTTCCAATAGAAGAAAAATTCTGAACACCCCTCCAGATTTCTGTATTTAAACTACAAGCTTGAAAAATTCTGCCCCCTAAACAAACAGATAGAAAATAAATATTTTTTTTTTTTAAGCAATAAAGAAGGATCTAGCATAACCAAGTGAAATGCTGATCTCACACTGAAATGTTCACGTTCTGCTTTACTATTGCACACCATTCCATTTCACAAGAAAGAGTCCGTGGCTATTTAGCAAGTCACAAAGGCTAATAATTTTAGGAGGCCAGCAATGCATTATGATAGTGATAAACAAAGACAGGACCAGATTGTGTCATTTACAGACATTTCTGTGGCTTATGTCTGTCATATTTTTTTTAATTAGGATAAATCACACACACACAATTTGCAGTAACAGCACAATGCCAAAAGAGATCATTTTTGCTCCCTAAAGTACAACTATAATTTTATTCCTTTTAGCAGCACTTGAAGGCTTTCCTTCTGCTGGGTTAAAACCCAGCAAAGATCAGCAGCGGCAGCACCTCAAAGCCGGCACCGCTCAGGCCTGGGGCGGCCGTGCCACTGCCCGGCCCTCGCTGGCACGGCGATTGTCGCAGGGCTGAAACGCCGCCTCGCCCGAGCCGAGCCGAGCCGAGCCAGCCCGGGGTCCCCACAGCACTGCCGAGTGACAAACGTGCCCGTGCGCCCAGCACAGCTCCCCACAGACAAGCCACGGCGGGACTGCTCCGCCACAGCAGCCGGGCCCCGCCGGGCCCAGGCCGCGCCAGCGCGGCTCCATGCTGCTCCCTGCTGCTGCCTCCCCCTCAGCGCCTCTCGCTCCTCCCTTTGTCTCGGCCCTGCCGCCTGCCAGCGCCGAGCACGGCGTTCTCTGGCTGCTGCTGGATGCATGGATCGCAGCTGCCATTCCAGCTCCGTACCTGGTAGCCCTCCAGGCTCAGTGGCTGTCCCTACCAGTGACTGCCATCTGCCAGCCACCAGCTCTCACACCGCTCTGACCCCGCAGCAAGGCTTACCTCCAGGGGCCTCTGTCAGGATAAGATTTTTCCTCACTGGAGAGCCTTCCTGTGTTTCAGGCCAGACCCCAGGCAGTTGAAAAATGTCTTTATGGCCCAGAAGCACATGCCTGTGCTTCTGCACTACAGTGGCCACTACCTGGGCAACGGCAGAACAGTTGTGTTTAAAAAAAAAAACTGATTTCTGAGCTTTTCGACACATCCTACACTACTTCCTAACATTTGTGCAATGAGGCAAAGCCATCAACAAAGCAAGGAGGGAGCCAGGACCTCGTTCCAGCCCCTGTGTGGGCAGGGGCAGGGTGGCAGGGCTCAGCGAGGAGAGCAAGCTGCCTCAGAGCAGAAATGGAAACTGCAGCAGCCCAGCAAAGCCAGAGCACACCTGATGCAAGGCTCTGCATCCAGCCCAGCCAGGCTGTGCCTCCTGCCAGCTGCACCCAGACCCAGCGCTGCTCAACCCCCATGGCCCCAGCAGTGCAGGAACCGGGGAGGGAGCTGCTGCGCAGACCCTGGAAGGAGAAAAAATGCCTGGAAAATGCTAACTTTTAGTTGAAGCAAAGAAGTCATCTTGTACCAATGAGTTTTATATTAAATTTTTGTCTATTCCCCCAGTATCAATAGGTGTGAAGTTCAGCCTCCTCCATACCTGTATTTCACCCCACTGCTCAGTGGGACCAGCATGAGCTGCAAGACAAGCGTTCGCACTGCAGCTAGGAATGAGGACAAGGTTTCCCCAGTGCCTTAAATCATCTTTCCTCATCAGCTTTCAGTGACAAGAAGCATTTCTGTGAAAAGTGAGAATCAGCAAATTTGGGGAATTAGGAACCTACTGG